AAGTTGCTGGAATTTATAGTTGTGCAGAATTGGTTAGGTAGGTCCTAAAACGATGGTGAATCACCCATTTCCAACTCTTTTGACTGACCAAATCGTGCTCAAACTGATAGTGGAACACTTCTTCTACACGTATGCATCGGTTGGAACCACCAAAACGCATTGGAAGACGCGTTTCATTAAGGGCAAAGTTGGAAGAAAACCAGTTTTTCTGCAGGCACGCAGGCGCCTGGCGCCTCCYRTGWAGGTWTTTYCGWCTTTTTGCTTCTTTTGATTAATTTGCACTCCCAAATRGTCCTAAAATGTCATAAATACAATATAAGCCAACCACAAACCATAATATATGAATTTTGCATGAATTGGAACTCAAACGATCGAGAAAAATCCGAAACAAAGCTGAAACATTGTAAAAACAGCATCTAAAACCTTCTTTTTACGCATGTAAACAAGCGTAATCAGGCCTACAACGTCATCTTCGCGAGACCCATCATCCATTCGTTCCGGGTCGTTCCCTCAACACTTGATCAAGTCCTGAAGTATTCAACTCCTAATAGAGTGGGCACAGTCCGAGGAGAGCATTAAACTTCAAGGGAGTGCTATGCCTTCGCGCTTAAAGGGTCATCAGTATGGGCCCTAGAAAGACAAGCCAAATGGGACGAGTTGCTGAAATCTGAGGCCGTCCTACCGTAAGTAGGTAAAAGGGAGTTCTCCGCACCGACAGAGGAGCTCGAACATGTTCCTTTGCTTAGTCTTGAAAGACAAGCATAGGAACCATGCTGGGGGCCACTGAGAGGAAAGAACTGATCAACTTCCTCAGGTCCAGCTCGGGTGTCTTCGCATTGTCTCACGAGGACATGCCAGGCATCGACCCAAAGATCATGGTGCATCGCCTCAACGTAGATCCGTAATTCCGACCTGTAAAGCAAAAAAGAAGACCTGTAAATAGGGAGAGAAGTGATGTAATTGTTTAGGAAGTAAACAAACTTTTAAAAGTTGAATATATAAGAGAAATTATGTATCCCGAGTGGCTCTCTAATGTTGTATTAGTTCAAAAAGCTAACGGGAAGTGGAGGATGTGCGTAGATTTTACAAATTTAAATAAGGCATGCCCAAAAGACTGCTTCCCACTACGGAGGATCGACCAGCTCGTAGACCCAACGGCCGGGCACGAGCTGCTCACCTTCATGGATGCCTACTTCGAATACAACCAAATCAAAATGCATATCCCAAATCAAGATCATACAGCATTTGTAACGCCCCGCATTCTCGGGTACGTTAATTTTAAGATATCATTAGTGCCTTTGGATTTTTCCCAAAGTTGATATTCTTGGGTTTTGTAATTTTGGAGTTCTAATTTTTGGATAAATGAGAATCTAAGTTTAATTTAGATAGTTAGGATAAATTAAGTTTTCAAATTTTGGAGAATTTAGTTTATGGTTTTTTCAAACAATGTTAGTAAATAAAGGAAAACAAAGGTGTAAAATAAGAGTAAAATAAAAAAAAAATGAGAAACCCTAAACCATTTCTTTTTCTTCTTCCTCTCCCTTTTGTTTTCCCCAGCCGCCAGCCCCCCAGATTTCTTCTTCTTCTTCGAGCAACCCAGCTGGCACCTTCT